AGTCACAGAAGCTGGTTTTGGGGCTGATATTGGAACCGAAAAGTTCATGAACATAAAATGTAGATACAGTGGATTAACACCTCAATGTGCTATCATTGTGGCAACAATTAGGGCCCTCAAGATGCATGGTGGAGGGCCAGAAGTTGTAGCTGGGAAACCTCTTGATCATGCTTATCTGACAGAGAACGTGGCACTTGTTGAAGCTGGCTGTGTGAATCTTGCCAGGCATATTTCAAACACAAAGGCCTATGGTGTAAATGTTGTAGTTGCCGTGAACAAGTTCGCAACTGATTCTGAAGTTGAACTAAATGCAGTAAAGGCTGCAGCACTTTCAGCAGGGGCATTTGATGCTGTAATCTGTACTCATCATGCTGATGGTGGGAAAGGAGCGGTTAGTCAATTAACATTATTTGCTACACGTGTATATTGTTTGTTTATGCTTTCATGTGTTCCATTCAGTGAATTTTCTGAGGGGGGAAAAAACCAAGAGCTAAAACTCTAATCCTCGCAAAAACCCTTTTAAGATAGACGAGAAATTAAAACAATACCAGAAGACAGTAAAGTTACCTGTGAACTTCATAAAATTCATAACTTAACTTCACCTACGAACTGTTGAATTCTAATTAATGCTTGTAGAATCCCTAGTAAATTTTGATCACAAACAGTTCACTGATTGTTCTAGAGATTTTCCTTGTTATCAGTCACTTTTCTATCTCAGTATGCTTCTATTATTTACTGTTTCTTACCCATGTTGACATGACATGTATATTTTGTTATTAATTTGGTAACTTTACTGTTCAACACTGAGGGACCTGAAATTTGATGAGTGATTGTTTCTTTACCTCACCTCTTTCTAAGCTACCTTCTGTTATGTCTGGACACTCGTATATTGCAAGAAATCAAGTAAGGAGGCAGTCTTATCAGGCAATATTTCTTTGTGTATAAATGCCGATAGTTCTCAATCAATATTCCCTTTTTTTTTCATATTGTTTTGCAGGAACTGCCTGTAAGATTGTGTATACACATGGGTTCATGGAATGTGGTTTAAGAAATATAAGGAGAGGAAAGAAAGAAAATGGAGACTGTTTTGAAGGAAAATAATCTAACAGACTATTCTACTTCGCTTCCATGCATATATACATGGATCTGATAACACACTATATACTTTTACTGTGGAGCCCTGAACCACCAGAGCTGAAAGATAAATAATGTTAATGGTCCAATGATGATCATAATTGGACAAAGCTTTCATTAATAGCTGATCAAATAATTTGACTGTTTCTTGCCTTTATCAATAAGTCTCTAGTTCTGGTGGCTTTTAGTATTTGATTAGCAGAACTAGCAACTGGGTCATTGTAATAAGTTTATCAGTGATTGCTGTGTTTTATTCTAGCTTCATGTCTATACTGCTTAAATGCTGGTTGGCATCATATTTGGAGCCTGTGTATCCAGTCATTGGAACAAGCACTTGCCTAACCCTTAAATGGGCTGTTTCCATGGTGTCAAGAAAAAGACAGTGTTCTGGAAGAGGATATGAAATGTTTCCCATGTTCGAAACCAATCTTGTAACCATTCTTCCTGACAAACTTAATTTCACTTATTTAACAAAATAATCAGATAGAAGAATATAGTCATTTTTGCATCACAAGAGTTACTATAGGGGGTGAGGTAACCAAGGCAAAGTGATTCTGGGGTGTCATAATTCAGTATCTCCACTATGGATAGCTAAAACTAGGATTACTTTCTTCTAAAGACTTGTTTTTGTTGTCTACACTTTTTCAAGAAATACAAGGGCAAGTTCTCAATGCCCTTATTTACCTCTCTGAGACCCTTTAACTGGCCCCTTGGGAATTTGAAAGTGGCCTAATGTGCCATGTTACTCTGGAAGCAAGTATAATTCTGCAAAATTATACTCTATAGTTTGTATCTGTCCACAATACTTAGGAATGAAGCAAAAGCTGTGCTATATTTCTGATAGTTTTTTCCCTTAATTGGCTGGAGATAAGGTAAACTATGTGTCACCAAATGCTACTGTGGTTCATAGCAATCGTGCTTTTTTTTCTGTCTGAATGTGTCGTGAAAGGTTACACTTATCTGTTTTAAATTCTATTTGAAATGTTGCTTTATTTGGGATGAGTTTATCTTGATCCTATCTCCTGGTCAACCAACAAAACTGTGGTTTAGGATAATTACTTTATGACCTGGAGTCTTATGCTATCCGCTGCTCCAGTGTTCATTTTTTTTTTATTGGAAGATAAGGATAGGCTATCTTTTAGAGGATTTACAACCCTTTAATTTTTTTCCCCTCTGGGTCCTATGGAATGTCCATTAAGCTTGCTTGCTATCTGCAAACCTCAGTCTTCTCGCTGGGCATGCTGTAAGCTTTTCTTGGAGTATCAGCTCTATTTGCCCGGTTAGTGCCTTCAGATAATCCCAAAATCAATGATCGTGGCCAAGGAATTGAATGTCCAATAAATTTGAGAAAAAGCATCCTCATGTAACATGATTTGAGTTAGCTTTAGAGATAAAACAGTATTGGTGTTTTCTTTCCAGTTTCCCTATCCTTCACATAAAACCATCACCTTCATTCCTGATACTCCTCATCCTAGGTGAATGATCTGAATCTTTCTGCTGCTACATCTGTTTTTTCAAGCATAGCATCTGGTAGGAGTGAAATTAAAATTTTGGCAAAGATGGCGCATATAAATGATCAAAGTGTGTTGCTATTTTATCCTTTGATTAAAATATCTTCATTTTGCTTCAAAAGGCAGGGCAAAGAAAGTTTTTAATGGGGTAGGCATGTGGTAGTGCATGATTAGCCTTTCCTTTTCTTGGTGTATGATGTCATCTCTCTGTATCTGAAGCTTTGAGATTGTTAAAAAAATTGATTATCAGTATTAAAGATATATGATCTTCTGTTTTTTTTTCCCTCTTCTGATTTCTCAGGTAGACCTGGGGGTTGCAGTTCAAAGAGCTTGCGAGAATATTGCACAACCATTGAAATTCTTGTACCCTCTGGATATAACCATCAAAGAAAAAATAGAAGCCATAGCAAAGTCTTATGGTGCTAGCGGTGTAGAATACTCAGAAGAGGTATACTCTGCTAACATTCATTATTTGGAGTTCTTCCACTTTCTTATTATTTTTTATTTTTTTTGCAATCTCTAAACAAATTAATATTGAAATAATTTTCTTTGACATCTTCATCACCTATTCCCAACATGTCTTGGTGGCACCAGGCTCTCGATGCAAATGAAGCAGAAATTCCATGTCATTAATAACATATTTTTGCCATAAAAACTTGATTTTTAAGAAATTGGAGGTTGACTTCACTATATGCTTTAAAGTTCCAATATGTGAAAGAAGTGTTGGAGCTAATAGCCTATCAGCTGTAGTGTTAATACCACTTTGAAATGGTGGGAGAGAAGTTCTTACTAATTTTGCCAACTTCCTCTATTGTTCTCAATTCCTCTTTCATTTTCATGAACATTGTGGCTTCTTTGGAATACTTCCTCTTTGAGCCTAGACCTTGTTGTTGCTTTTCGAAACTCTTTATATTACGCTCTGTTTCCTTGAGCCTAGACCTTCTTCTTGTTTTCTGAATTCTTTATCCTACTTTCTGTTTGCTAGAGTCTAGACCTTTTTATTGTTCTTAAATTACAAGGCTGGTTAAATGAATTGAGAATTATAAAAGTAGAGCAACTTATTCTCCTTTCAGACTACCTACCTACTGTTCTCTTACACTATAATCATTAACAGTATTATATATATATATATATATATATATAAGTAGAGCAACATATTCTCTTTTCAGACTAACTACCACAAGTTCTCTTACACTATAATCATTAACTGTATACACACACACACACACAATACATGCATTTTTAGTTTTTCAAGTTCTTGAGTAATATGATAATTTTGGGTTTCTTTCATTATAAACATTTTTTTTGGTTGTTAGGCTGAGAAACAAATTGAGATGTACGCCAAGCAAGGATTTGGCAGTTTACCAATCTGCATGGCAAAAACACAATATTCATTTTCACACAATGCTGCAGCAAAGGGAGCTCCAAGTGGATTTGTCTTACCAATCAGAGATGTAAGGGCAAGCATTGGAGCTGGATTCATTTATCCTTTAGTTGGGACAATGAGTACAATGCCTGGCCTTCCCACAAGGCCTTGCTTCTATGATATTGATCTTGACACCACCACAGGAAGGGTTATTGGTCTTTCTTGAGAATTAGTCATCAACCTCAAACTGGGAACCTGTAGAGGCCAATCAAATGATTCAGGGCAGATTGCAAACTCAACTGGAGTACATAATTTTTATGTTCATGGTATGGTTTCATTCTCATGTTGTATCCTGTATAACCTCAATAGAAAATAAAGAACTCTCATGTTGTTTTCTTTTGCTGACATTTCTTGGAAAATTTTCAATTTGAGTTGGATGTGCTGTGCTCTATCCCATGAATTATCATGCTTGTTGGGTGGTACCCCAAGAGTGTCCTGAGGACTGCTATATGCACTTTATAGTTCTGAATAATATTCCACAAGAATTTTCTAGGAGAAAGAGTAACATGATAAATGGCCTTAGTTATCTATATTAAGGTGGAAGCCCTGATGCAGTGCCAGGTTCTGACTTCTAAAGTTGTAAGCGAGTGTATTGAATGTATTTAGTTTATCTTGCATGATTCGATCAGTGTTTCAGCTGGAAAGGTAAGTCTTGCATACCACAGTTATGTAATAGTGATTTTAGTCCCCAAAAAAGAAAGCTAAAAGTGACTATTTGTTTCACGCTGTTATAAATCATCTCTTCAGCAAGTATTCTTGGTACTAATCATCTTCTTTCTGCATCTTTTCCATCCGTGGATGTTTTAAATTGTCCAATCAATTTTGAAGGCATTATCATTCAATCTTATTGGCAATTGAATGGTTTTTATCTATTTAAGTTTATATTACTGGTGATAATTGTTTATCAACAAGAACATATGATCTTCTTGTTGGCAGATTTCATAATACTGATTACCTTGGATTACTTCTTGTTGGCACTATGAAAAGATCTAGACTGGGGAGGAAAGAGGGCAAGAGCCGATTGTCCCAATAACTAGGGGCAGTAAATGCCCAAAAGACATCATAAATCACAACCGTAGAACATTAGTTTACAGTATTAAAGAGTGAATGAAATGTTACAAAGCAAGAGTTTCGATTAACAGGCTGCTTTACTACTTAAAATCTGAGTAAATTTTTGCTAGTTCTTGATACTATTGGGTTACAAACAAGCAAATCTACGAGTTAACAACTCTGCAGTTCTTCCGGATCTGTCCGCTTGAACCAGTCAATGGGCTTATGTTGCCCATCTTGATCATGGAATTCACGAAGTCATTGAAGAAAAGTACAGAATTTTTGCTATAATTTTCAACGATACTTCTGGTGGTCGATGCTGCTGCATCACTAGAATATAGGATTTGGTCAGATTGAAGCAGTCCCTTGCCACTGAGCAAGTTTTGAAAGTAATGGTTGTCAAACAAATCCCTGGAATTCCTATCTAGCGGGGCTGTGTTGTTTCCATCGCTAGTTTGAGGACAAAGGCTTTGCAGATCAGACACCATGCTGGTGTCCATTGTACCATCTGGAGCACCAGTGCCGGAGAAGTTGAACAACCTTGAGCTGAACACGGCGCACTTTGCTAAGCCAATGGTATGTGCACCTGTATTTCCATGCCAAAACGGAATATGTTCTAGGTTAGGAGAAATATTGATGTCATAGTTCATATCAGATATGCAGAGTTGCAGATTTAAAGGCAACGGGCATTTTTATTGAGGCTTGTATGAGAGTTTGATTCTTGCCATCCCTATTCCCCTCCCAGATCCCTCCTTTACCGCAGCCCATCCTTCTAAAGAATCCCAGAAACAAATTAGAATCCATAAATACAAGAAATCTTGAACAAGTTCAGACTCAAGTATACTTACCAGATAAGGCAACAACATCTGTCACGTTAAGGCCTACAGCAGCAAACTTGGCAATGATTGTGTTTAGTGGATCAAAAGGACCAGGAAGCACTGATGCATTGGCTGCTGTCTGATTTGCAACTAATCCATCCCTCCTACCAAGTAAAACTCTCCATGCAGGTCCTCCACTCTGCATAAATATGTGGAAACATTAGACTTCTTAGGAACTTCTATCAAGAGGTATAGATTCAACTCCAATCAACGAAGCTTTTGAACCATTAGATACCAATATGGCCAACTAAAACACTGCTTATGGTTTGTTTTATAGAGGAGCTTTAAGGTTACCAAAAGAACTGAATCTCTGGCAGCTATAGCTAGTATATCAGCACATGATACAACTCCAGCACATGCACTTTCCACAGCATTCTTTATCGTATCTACTACTTCAAATCCTCTTGCAGAGTTCAAGTTCGGCACTGCAAGCTTCTCACTATTACTTCCATCCAACAGCAACGATGCATCGCAGCCCTAGACAAAACCATGCAATTAAAATCATGCATTAAAAAAACAAGTTTAGAATTCTTTCTAAGGAGTGGTCTAAACGAGTAAATGTGCGTACTGAAATTATTGCACTCACATTTACAAAACAATCGTGGAAATGCAGCCTAAGCAAAGAAGCAGCCATTCTGATTTCGTTCATGATTGCTTTTTGGACCTCTGTACGGACGATTTTCAAAAGATTTGGGCATGTTGATGAATAAAAATCAGTGCTTAGTTGAGACCTTGCAACTGAAAACAACATCAACGATGTTAAAAGCCCAAAACAGCACGAAAGTTTGCATGAAACCTTCATGGTTCTTATGAAAGAATTCGATCAGCTTTTAAACAATATTCTGCGAGTTGAAAACCTTAGATTCTTGGTGGTTTATGACTAAGATGTGATCGATGAGCATGCTTGAGGTTAATTTATACCCAAGATTAAGGGCTGTATTCAGTGAATTTGACTTAATAAAGTGAGTTAACTGAGCTTAGTGCTCTGGGGTATGGCGGCTCCAATTTCAGAGTTTGTTCCTTCCACTATAAAAACAAACTCAGAGATTTGTGGAAAGTGGAAGAAACCAGATGGTCTACTCTATCCTTCTCTCCACATAATGAAGGCATTAGTGGATTAATTGTTATCAGATTACATAAAATATGCGCTTGCTTTTCCATTCATGAATATAGTGACACAGATTCATCCTCTATGCAGATCATTTTGGCTTCCACTTCAGTTCACGAAAGAGTTGGGTGGACTAATTACCTTTTTCATCTTCACAAAGTGAAAATGTCAACGGAATATTTTTATCTACAGCCTCCACTCATTGAACTTGTGACATCCTACTGCTGAAAGATATTATTGTTATTAATCCAGTTGAACTTCAATGAAAGAAAAGCTAGCTAATCAAGTTTAGGCAAGATAAGTGTGCTTGATTTTGCTGGAAACAAGCTGTTAGAAATAACTATTTATTCACGCGACAATCTTTTTTTTTTCTTTTTTTTAAGAACTAAGTGAAATTAAAGTGTCAAATGCTAATATAACTGGGAAAGTTAACAAGAATAATAACTAATGAAATTTTCATGAAGATCATATCATATTACCTTAGGCCTCTATTTCTTCTATTTCTCTTATTCCATTGCTGCCAAGCTAGTAACAAGAATGGCCGTGTACCAAGTCCTAAGCATAATGCAAACTACAAGAATTTGGCAAAAGTGATAGGAGAACTGTTACTTTTTCATTCCAATTATTTAGATTCGGCATCTTGTGCTAGAGACATAATACCACACAAAACTTGAATTTTTTTTTCTTGATACTCATGTTCTTGGGTTTTGTCAACTTTGATCCCAATCTTTTTTAAATGTTACCGAAGTGCCATGCTTATGTATGCAAATTTATTGATGGAATATTCCCCTAATCAAGTTAAGCTCAATCTAAATTTTCTAAACTTGAATTCGAACTCGAAATTAATTGAGCATCTCTTGTTACAATTTTCAATCTAACTCAATTTTGATCTGAAAAAGCTCTAGAAGGTAATGGATCTCAACTTTGAGTTTACTAAAAGGTGTAAAGGTGGCTCAATTTCATGACAAGCTAGTATGTTCATTTTCTGGCTTCAAACAAATTATAAAGATACAAAGGCTCGTGAACCAAACACCAAAGGCTCAAGCTCGAGTCATTGAGCTGTTGGAGCAGCATGAGGTCAATCGAGGTGGGGGCTAAACAGCTCTTGAGTTGTTTGATTCGTTGCTTTCAGAAGGGAATACGAACTTGGATGAATGCAATAAGTCCACTGTTTCAGATGGCAGGTGGCAGCATCTACCTTAATCTTCTGAGATGATCCTCAGTCTTAGCAGTCATTGTATGAGAACCAGATGGCAGACTCTTTTAAATTTTAATTGTGCATGGCAAGTTGCTTTGATAGTTGATATAGAATCAGCTATTTTTGCTGCCGAAGAAAGTCTGCAGAATGCATAAATAAGTTTCACAGTTGCTAGAGGATCAACTCATCTCCTTGGCACCTTTATTATATGCAAATTCAAGATTAAAAATGGCAAGGAACAGAGAGAATATTATCCAACTCAACATGTCTCCTACCCAAATAAAAATGATTAACACACAGGTCTGCCTCCTAACATGGAGACAAGAATTGGTCCAGGTCTTTATCACATTTCTTGAAGCTAACAATCACGAATATCACAGTTCATATTAGTAGTTCAATTGTTCATCCTCCAGATGTATAAATCAGCTTGCAAGGTCAATTATCTGCTTGTGTTACCCAAAAAGAAAAAAGAAAAAAAAAAGAAGAAGAGTACTTCTAATGTATAAGATAAATATCATCTAATGCTAGAATCAACACAGTTGGCACATGAGGAAAGAACCAGCTTCATTATGAGGCCATGATGGTAGGTAACATGATTTGGCAAGTGTAAAAAACATGCATTCATGGCTAATAAGAAATATCCATGAGCAGTCAATGATTCCTATTGTCCCCCAGAAATTAAAATAGCACAAACATTTCTGACTTCTTTATTGATTAGCTAGCATGTGATGCTTTAAGTTTTTAAATTAAACAACCAGCACGAGTGCAAGATCGGCTTAGAACTAGAGCTGGTGATACAAACGGTGGATGCATTGATAATCTATTGCCAATTTGGATCTCAGTGCTGGATGCATCTTCTGAGATCCGACATCAATTAGACAGAACAAAGGACAAATGGAAAAGTTAATAAAGCCATTACAACTAGACAAAGAGAGGATGAGATTCCTTTTGTTTTCTTTATGACCAATATATGCAAATGGAGAGGCACTCTGATTCCAACATCTTCACAGGCTTCTTAGGCTTAACATTCCCATCAAATAGTTGCATTCTAGTTCAGGGGAAAAAATGGCAACCTCTATTCCAAATCCAAAATTCTCTAGCCATTCTCGTTCAATCAGTTTGCCTTCTTCATCTCATCCACTTATTGTTACTGCTGAGGAACATCTGCAAAAATTGAAGTCATCAGAAGGGGCATCCTCAACTTCACATTCATTGGCATGCCAAAAATTGGATGGCCTCAAGAACTTGTACGAGTGTCTGGACGATGTGCTTCAGCTCCCTTTGAGTCAACAAGCTCTCTCAAATGAAAGACTTGGAACATGGGAAGAAGAGGTCTTGGATGGATCTCTTAGGCTGTTGGACATTTGTGGGGCACTAAGAGACATCTATTTACAGACAAAGGAAAGTGTGCAGGAACTTCAATCATCTCTACGGAGGAAAAGAAGTGGAAATTTGGACAATGAAGTCTGCTCATATATGATCTGCAAAAAGAACTTGAATAAAATGATAAGCAAATGCTGCAAGGAATTGAAGAAAGCAGAGAAGAACTGCAACTTGGCAGTGGTAAACAAAGATTGCGCCGTGCTTAACCTGATCAAAGAAGTTCAAGTTGTTAGTCTTCCAGTGTTGGAGTCTGTTCTATCTTTCCTTTCTGGATCAAAGGCAGGGTCACATCCAAGAGGTTGGTTCTTGGTCTCAAAGTTATTACAGCAAAAGAGAGCATCACAGGGAGGAGACTCCAGCACTGCTGCAATTGAGCAAATAGAAATTCAGTTGCATCTCTTGAACAAAAATAAGTCAAACAAGGATGTACTTGAAAAACTTGAGGGAGTGGACTCGAGCATTGAAGAATTAGCAGAGGTGCTTGAAATTGTGTTCAGGCTTTTGCTTAAAACCAGAGTTTCCCTTCTCAACATTGTCAACCACTAGTTTAGGTCACAATCAGAATGGCTTCTCAAAAACCATGCACCTCAATTTTGTTTACGTTAACCTTTGTACAAGTGTATATATATACACACATCTCAGAAATGATTACAGTACTGAAACTGTTTATCTAATTTGGGCGTCTTTGTTCCTTGCCTGTCCATTGATCTTTGCACTTAGCTTTCCAGAAATTAATTCCAGGGCCAATCAAAAAAAAATCTCACACATAGCTTTTCAATATTACTTAAATTTTTGCATGAGTATTCTTTTCAATATTACTAAAATCATTAGTGAAACAGTTTAAAATCTTCAAATATAGTTCCAAATGTCAAAATAGTCAGTCTGCTTGAAAGTACCATGGCCATGAGAATAGGCATCAAATAAACTCTAAAATTAGAAAATTTGAATGAGATAAAAAGGCTACATCTCAATGCTTTTCTGGCCGAGAATAAGAAACATTCTCTCCCATTCTCTCTCTCTCTCTCTCTCTCTCCCCCCTATTGTTTAAGGTCAAACTATCCTGACTGACAGGAATTGGTGCTATTGATCCATCAAGCTCAAACTGGCGTTGCCGAACAGATTTATAACCTAAATCCTGTATCCATATATCTCGGCTGATATTTGTCAAAATTTTCATAACATACAGAAAAATGCATCATAAAGATGCATCTATTTAAGTCGTTCTTAATTATGAATTGTTGACATTATTTTCGTACCAGGTGGAGGAGCTGACATTTAAGGGGAAATTTTTTGCTAAAACAGAACTTGAAAATGGGAAAACTTGTCAAACTTTCCAACTTTGTCCGGGGCATATTTTGCTGGGACTGTGCTGCAGTGCCGACAAATCACCTCATGAAATACTAAAATAATGCTAGTTACCGGTAGTCGTCTAACTTACTCATCTTTAGGACAATTTTGGTCCATTAGCATTTTTTTTATTCTATTAAAATAATGATTATAAATCCTGTGTAAGTTTTATAGCTAAAATGGTAAGTTTGTGCACTAAACTAGTAACTTTAATCATTCATCAATTTTACCATTTTATTTGTAAAATTTACCATTTTTTAACAAAAACTTACCATATTTGAATTAAACTTACTAATTATAATTATTGTAACTTTCTTAAGTAAAATAGTAAGTTTGTGAAATCAAGTAGTAGGTTTGAACAATTCACCAAATTCACTATTTTATTAATAAAACTTACCTTTTTACAACAAAAACTTACAATTATTTGACTTAAACTTACATGAGAGTTTTTAGAATAAAATAATAAATTTTTGTAATAAAGTAGTAAGTCTGAACAATTCGCCAAATTTACCATTTTATTAATAAAAGTTGCCATTTTTTGACAAAAACTTACTATTATTTGAATTAAACTTACAGATTCAAACTATGATAAGTTCCTCGAATAGAATGGTAAGTTTGTGCAATAAAGTAGTAAGTTTGAACAATTCACCAAATTTACCATTTTATTAATATAAGTTGCCATATTTTGACAAAAACTTACTATAATTTGAATTAAACTTACAAATTCAACCTATGATAAGTTTCTCGAGTAAAATGGTAAGTTTGTGCAATAAAGTAGTAAGTTTGAACAATTCGCCAAATTTATCATTTTATTAGTAAAAGTTGCCATTTTTTTAACAAAAACTTACTATAATTTGAATTAAACTTACTGATCCCAACTATGGTAAGTTTCTTGAGTAAAATGGTAAGTTTGTCCAATAAAGTAGTAAGGTTGTTCCAATCACCAAATTTTCTATTTTATTAGTAAAACATACCACTTTTGGACAAAAACTTACTATTATTTGAATTAAATTTACTGATTCTAACTTTTGATAACTTTGTATAGTAAAATAACAACTTTGGATCATCCGTTAAATTTATCATTTTGTTTGGAAATCAAATAAAATTTATGTATTTTATTACCCAAACTTATCATTTATCTAGAAATACTTACTACTAGTGATAAATGCACAATCGATGTATGTGAAATAAAAAATACATAATATTTATTGTGAATGAATTTTATATAAAAATTTTTATTGTTAAAGCAAATTCTAATTTTTAAATTATTTTCACAAAATGATTGTTGTGTTTGTAGTTATTGCTTAGAAGTGTTTATGTTGAATAAAATATGCTTAAATATTTAAATTGATGCTCATGGGTAGTTATCTTGACAATATTTATCCAGGTAGTTAAAGTTTCTATAAGGACAAAAATGAAAGTACACAAAGTAACAACCAAATGTTTATACAAAACTCCCTCCTCTCCCTTTATATATAGTATAGATGATCATCAGTTTACTTAGTATTATATCCATGAAATTTTTAAGAGTGTGGAAGATTTTGTTCAAGGCCACAAAATAAGATTATCATCATGAGCACCATTTCTAGTTGTACGAAGGATTAATCTATATTGTAGTACTTGGGACTACATTAAAAAGAAAAAAGAAAAATCGTTCAAAACGTTCCTTATATTTTACAAAATGACTTTTTTCATTCCTCACTTTTAAAAGTATATTTTTACATCTCTTACAAATTCACATTGGTCAAATTTGGACCCTATCTAGGTTTTCGACTAGTATTTCGTTGGAATCCACCACGTGCCTTGCACGTGATCATTTTTGAAGGGCAAAATTATCAAATCAAAATTTACATAATCCGATCCTTAGTCCCTCAAATTTCACAAAATGAATTTTTTTGTCCCTCATATTTCACAAAATGAATTGTTTCGTCCCTCACATTTCACAAAATAAATTTTTTCATCCCTCATTGATCATGTGTACGAATAACTTTTTTTTAAACTCATGTATATATCTATTTGATTGTACTTGAATAATACGAATAGCATGTAATATATCTCTATTTAATTTTGCCTGAGCGTACTATTTCAATGAAATTAAATAGATACATACAGGATTTAAAAAATTTGTTAGTTTTTCACTCATGCTCATTTCCTTTTACTCGAAAATTGAAAATAAAGAAAACATTTAATTTTTAATATTATCAAGTGTTTATATCGAATTAAATTTGGATAGAAAAATAAACAAAAGAAAAGTATGACAAAAAAAATAAGTGATTGACACTTTCAAATTTTAAAACAATCACAAGGTAAGAAATTCAATTATTGGTGTTAAAGGTGGCGAGTAAAAATTTCAGATTTAAATAGATTCACATGGTAAAATAATATATATATATATATATATATATATATGGATTTCAAACAAAATTATTAGATTTAAATCCATGTATATATCTATTGAATAGTATATACAATTACAATCAGTCTGTTTAGGTGAAATCAAATAGAGATATATTACATGCTATTCGTACTGTTCGAGTGAAATTAAATAGATATATACATAAATTTTTAAAAAAAACTATTTGTACACATGGTCAATGAGGGATGAAAAAATTCATTTTGTGAAATGTAAGGGATTAAAAAATTTATTTTGTAAAATATGAGAGATGAAATAATTCAATTTGTGAAATGTAAGGGACTATAGATCGGATTATATAAATTTTAATTTGATAATTTTCCCCCTAAAAAATGATCACATGTGAGGACCCGTAAATTTCCCTAATTTTATATTATTTATTTTATTTCCTCGCCTGCATTTCTCTTCATTATACCCCACTATTTCGATTTTTCCAGAGATTTTATAAGTGAATAGAGTTTTTAAAACATTTTTCTAGTATAAGTTAGTTCATGAGATTTTAGGAGTGTATATTAGACGTGGGACCCGCTAGTGCGGTAAGTGCGATAAAATTCGGCCAATTAGGTTAAGTTTTGTATACAGGGATTAATTTACTAGGTGTTAAGGGATAATTAGAGGTTGCTTAGATGGTTAATCTTGGAGAGACAAAAGGATAAGTTTAAACCTTAAAGGTGCTAGGTGTCGTGCTACGGTTGGTTCTTGGACTTTGACCACTATTCATTAACTTTACTAAATATCAAAAATTGACCCAAAATCATCTTCATTTCCTTCTCTTTTGGCCGAGCATCTTGGAGAGAAAAAGAAAGAAAGCTTCCAACTTGTTTCTTCATTTCTTGCTTGAATCTTGCAAACCAACCGTTTAAATTCCAAATCCCTCCATAAAAGTAAGTTGGTAAGCTAGTTTAAGGCCTTTAGTGGAGCCATTTGTGAAGAACAAGCTCTAGCTATCTAGTTTCTTGGAGTTGCCAAGGTGAGTAGTCAAGATATCTTCCCTTTCATGATAATAATGATCAATTAAGGGTTTTTAGTGGTGAAGCATGTCATTTTGTGGATTATTTCATAAGTTATGGTTGAGTTGTCTAATTTTCCTATTTATTGAGGTTTTTTCTGTTTTAATATATAAATTATTGTTTAGTCATGGATTGATGGTTTGTTATGGTGCGAAATGGAGTTTGTATAGGTTAGTTACGATTGTTTGCAGAAAATTTCGGTTTTGTGCGGAAATTCCAGTTTTAGGGTTCCGATTTGCCCTGTTTTGCCCGGTTCTGTTTGACTAGGTTAAAGGCCGAATTAGACTTAGTACAAAACATGAAAGTTGTAGGAAATGATGTTTTATAGCTGACTGTAAAATTTCAGCTCGATCGGAGTACTGTAGCATGTGAAATGATGGAAATACCCTTGACTGCCCATAAGCCCTATTTTCGGGGACAGTTTTCTGTCTTCGTGGAGATTTCAATTTTTGACTCTGAAAATGCATGATTTAGCTTTGGAGGTCTTCATAAGAAATGTAGGTATATGTCTTGGCTTTGAAACGCCATAAGATACACTCAATCGGACTTCGGTAGCCTGAGTTATTGTCGTTTAAACATAGTGCGATTGACTAGTCTGATTGTGAGATGCTGGTTCTGTAATTTGACATTTTGACCTAGATACACTATGAACTGGACTAAGTGGTCTTCATCAAAGTTGTAGGCCTTTATTTTAGCTTCGAAAGGGTATAAATTTCACCCCAATCCGATAAGCGTAGCTTCAGTTGTGTCTGTTCCGCTAAGAGACATCAAACCTGCTATTTAGCTTTTGTCTTTAAAACTTGATTTCTAGTGGCATTCCTAGACTTGCTTTGTATTTGGATGAATTTGAGCCTAGTTGAAGGGTTATTGTATTGAGATTTCTTATGTGTTGAATTGGACT